CTTCTAGAGGAAAAATCTTCTAATCTTTAAAACTGGCCTTATCTGTACAGCTCTACAAGCAAGTCCATAACTCTCATAGCAAAAGACAAACTAATGAATAAACTGGAAAACTGAGAAAGTAGGAAGATGAGGAACAAACAGGATGTAAGGATAATGAAATTAGACAAAAAGCCATTTAAATCTCTGACATACAAGCTGAAATTTTGTTATTATGCCCTTTAGCAATCAAATTGTTTAAACCCTGAAATGTGAATCTATTTCTCACATTTGGAAGCGACTTTATACCCAAAATAGTGAGTACTTTAGCTATTAAAATGTGGCGCTATATGGTAAGTACTCAACCTCAAGTTCAATTTGAACCGCAAGGTCAGCAGTTCAAACTCACCAGCTGCTCCTCAGAAACCCTACACAGAGTTGCTGTGAGTCTGAAAAGACTTGACAGCACTTAACACCACCACCACCAACTATAAAATCTTTATGGTTGGAGACATTTTATGACACTTAAAAAAGGAACGGGAGAAGCAAATAAATTAAAAACCAGAAATTGATCTTGAAAAAACTCTACAAAAAGTTAATGACTTAACAAGTTGGCAATTTTAAGATATTTGGAGCTAGTAAAAAAGACATTGGTATCTATCTATATATATTGAGTCAGAGGAGAAAAAAAAAAAAAAAGAATAAATCTGGTCCTTCAAGTCTGAACAAGGAAAGCTATTTTTAGATGTGGTAAATATTTTCTTGAGTTCTGAGTGGTGCAATGGCTTAAGCATCACCACTTAAAACCCACCAGCCACTCTGCAAGCGAAAGACAAGGCTGTCTGTTTCTGTAAAGATTTAGTCTTAAAATGCTAGGGACAGTTCTAGTTTGCTCTATAACATCTCTCTGAGTTGGAATGGACTCAATGGGTTTGCTTTTTGTAACTCAAAGAATAAATTATATTATACTTATAAAATTTATCCCCTATTAATTAATATAAAGGATATAATATTTGCCATGGGCTATTATTATAAACTCTTGGAAGGTAAGGATTATTATCTTTTGAAACTTTTAAACACTTAGCACAATGCTTTTCATATAATTGTTGTTGTTAGGTGCTATCGAGTGGGTACCGACTCACAGCAACCCTATGCACAGAATGAAACACTGCCCAATCCTGGGCCAACCAAACTACTTGTTGCCACGCTTGAGTCCATTGATGCTGCCACCTGGCCAAGTTTCTTCAGATCGTATAAATATTTTATATAATAGATCCTAAGTAATTACGTATATATATTATTTTTGCTGGTATTCACTTGCCATGTTCAGTATACTCTATTCTTTCTTTATTTTGTTTCTATTTTTTGAGAACATTTTATTCAACTAAGAAAACACTTTTATTTTACTTTAAAGTTAACAAATATCTTATTAAAATGAAAAGTCATTAGTTGTACTTATTTTAATACCTTAGGAACATGAATTTCCATTTTAGTTTTAAGTCCTTTAAGTGTAATATAAAAAATAAATAGACTAGTTTAGCCTTCATGTTCAGTCCCCTCTGTTTTAAAGAAAACAATTCATGATATAAACACTATTTTAAGGTACATTAGGTTTGTATTTCTGATTAAACTTTTCACTTGTTGTTGTTAAGTGCCATTGAGTCAGTTCTGACCCAAAGCAACCCTGTATAGGGTTTCTGAGGAGCAGCTGGTGAGCTTGAAGAACTGACTTTGCAGTTCAAATGGCTTGGCAGTCTGGCACATTAACCCACAGCATCCCAGTTGGATACTGACAATTTCCCAGCTATGAAATAGGAAAGTCAAAATACAGAATTTGTCTCTGCTGGTTTAAAAAAAAAAAAAAAGTTGTCTTAAGATGAGGCTTTCTGCTTTTGTGAAGACACTCAGAAACTCTAAACATGGTTTCTATGTATCCAGACTGACTATGGCACTTCACAACACGTCAGTATTGATGGATAAAAGGAATACATGCTCTCACATGACCAAACTCACTAAGAATGAGCAGAAGGCAAACACTCTAATGGTTTAAAATAGACAAAAAGAGACTAAGAAAAACAAAGACATACAAAGATTCAATTATTTTCTCTTTTATGTATGCTCAAATTAAAAAAAAAAAACTACTTAAAAACACTGAAATCCTTCTCTTTAGGTAGTGGAAGGAAATTTCTTGGTATTTACTGAACCATAACTGAAACCACATAAAATTATTTAATTCAAACTTACAAAATGATATAGTAAATACAATTGGTATGGTGGTGGTTATGCACTGTAGAGTTGGTTTAGAGTTGGTTCTGACTCAGCAACCCTTCACAGAGAGTTTCTGAGGCTGTCAATCTTTATGGGAGCAGAAAGCCTCATCTTTCTCCTGAAGAGTAGCTGGTAGATTCCAACTGCTGACCTTGAGGTTTGTGGTTAGCAGCCCAACTTGTAACCCACTATGCTACTAGGGCTCCTTTCAACTGGTATGATGGATAATTATAATTAAATTCTTCACATTAATATTAAGTACATATTTTAAAGTTCTGAATTAAAATATTGCTTGTAATACAGCACAGCTGTTAATTAAACCTTAAAAATTTTCAAAGAATTGAGAAATTGTACTATGTCGAGGGTATTGAATATATGACAGGATAAGTTACATAGACAAAATGACTTTTTCTTATCATAGGAGAAATGCAAAAAAAACCACACACACACACACACACACACACACACACACACACACACATATATATATAATCTGTAACATTAGATCTTAGAAATAAAAGAAAGTACAAGGAGCTCTGGTAGCGTAGTGGTTATGAATCGGGCTGCTAACCTCATGGTCAGCAGTTCGAAACTACCAGCTGTTCTGTAGGGCAAAGATGAGGCTTTTTGCTCCGTAAAGATTTGCAGCCTCAGAAACCCTGTACAGGGTCTCTATAGTTGGAACTGACTCCATGGTACTTAACAACAACAACAACATTGTACATTTGTGATTTATATGCCCTAAGAAGTACATGTACGCTTCCAGATAATATTTAAAATTCTTATTTTATGATATTTCAAACCTTATTTTATGTGGATGGCAGTGTCACAGAATTCTAGAGCTGGTTATTACAGAAATATTAAGCTGCACTGCTGTTGCTGGTAGGTGCTATTAAGTCTATTTTCAGCTCATAACAATCCATGTGACAAAGTAGAACAACAAGTCCATAAAGGTCTTCTGGCTGTGATTTTTACAGTAGCAGATAACCAAGTTTTTTCTCTTTGGAATTACTAAGTGGGTTCACAGCTGAATGCTAATATCATACTACCAGGACTCCTTTAAAAGTTACAATCTCCATTCCATTGCCAAAGAGTCCATTTCAACTCATAGTGGCCCTATATAGGGTTTATAAGACTGTAAAGCCTCATCTTTCTCCCATGGAGTAGCTGGTGGGTTTGAACTGCCAACCTTGTGGTTAGCAGCCCAACACCGAATCCACTGTATCACTTGTCAAAATGTAGTACTGGTTAACAATAAATACATTTTCTGGAAAATATTAAAGTTAACTTAGAGGATCATTTCAAAGAATAGTTACTCAGAAATTTACAGCAGAAAGCTGCAAATATCCGGCCATGTTCAAGTTGAGAACATTATTAAAATAATTTTTGGTACAGTATATACATTGGTAGAGATGAGGTTCTGCCTATCAATGAAATCTAATTATAAATGGCTATTGAGTCATTTAAAAATTCATTGTTTAAAATTATTTTGAGTATTACTTGGCATAGGACTTCAGTTAAACTAAAATAACTCCTTGGAGTTGGCTGAAAAAAATCTGACCCAATATTGTCAACTTCCTAATATCTTTAGATTTCTAAGAATCTTGCCACCTTAAATCATATTAGGTGTGTTATATTTCAGTTTCAAAAAACTCATTAAACTTTGCAGACTCATGAACTTTTACATAATGGGTGCCATTTTCCTTACCTAAGTTCACTTAGGCGAAAATTAACCAACAAATTTGGACAAATGATATGCCAACTTCCTATTATTTAAACAATTCCAATTTTCCATTATAACCTTTTAACAAATAGATGTCTAAGTCAAGACTGAAAAAAGCAGTTCAGTAACTAATAAAGACTGAACACTATTGAGACCAAATTTCAAGCTAAAATGATTTAAAATCACTTCCAATCAATTTAATAGACTTTTGCATACTAAAATGCACCACTCAGGACATAATTTAGAAATACATAAATTTTACAGAAAGAATTTAAACACTGTAAGTCACAGCACATGCATTTTGTCTCTTAATAGCATGCATTATATACAATGTATACAAAGATATTTACAAATTATAAATACTTATACAGGTCATTAAGAGAAGACTATCCACAGATGTCAAAATCAAAAGTATTAGACTCTAGATATTATACATTATTTATAACGTACATATAAAATATTAAACTAATATGAGCACAATTTCTTAAAATGAGGAAAAAAAATCTTTGATTTCAACTAGATAAATTATCAGACAAAAATTTCATTTCTTCTAGCAAGCCTCCTATAAAAATATCATTTTGATAAGATTTCAATGGTATTCTCAAGGAGCAGTGCTTATATCAGATTAACTTTGCTTACAAGTAAAGCTAATACACAAAAATTTAAAAATCTCTTTAATAAAAGAAGAGTAAATATAGTGCTATAATCACCTAGCGGCAGCTTATAATCACTTTGTCCACAGGAATTCACTATCCATTCTGCCGCCACAGTCACCACACCATACGTATATATACATTCAAATTACCAGTTGGTAGTTTTATAGATACTAGGACATTTCCCTTGAAATGCTAACCACATAACAAAGGAGTTTGGTTTCTTAGGTTAGAAAAATAAACAGTTAATATAAAATTACTTTCTTGAGCTGAATTAGTAAAATCAACCTTCAAAATTTACCCTGAAAGTTTATTTAGTAGATATGGAAATAAGAGAAAAAAGCACAGCAGGATATACTTTTAGCAAAGTGGCAGCCTACCTGATATGCCATTCTTGCTGGTGTTCAATAAAGCTACAGATGCTGCAGAAACTCTTTTATTGTTCACAGTCTGCCCTGGTTTTCTTGAGGTACATTCTTCACTATCATTGTCCTGTAAATTTAGTAGTCTTGGCTGGAAACACTGTAGTCGACATGATCTGATATTGCTTAATATTTCCGAAAGGGACAGTCTATTTTCACAATGTTTATTGGAAGCATTGGTCCGAGAGAAATTAGAAGAAAAGTCTACAGTTTGGGAAGAGCTTGAGAAACCATTCAGCATTTCAGGGTCTATCTGTTTCAGGACTGGGTCATGTTCTGTAGATATCCGGTCCATTATGATTCTGAAAAATCAACAAAAAACCAAATATTAACTAAGGTAATTTCACAAACTTTTTTCTAGCTTGTAAACAAAACCCCAGCTCAAAACAAAATAGTTTACCTGCCACCTCTGCCAATCCGTCTCCTTGCAAATCCTATACATCTTCGTGGGACTGTAAGCGTTGTAAGACAATGCCTATACCTCAACTTATCCAAATCTGCCAAGTCTGAATTATCGAATGAATGGTTAGCTTGGTCCAACCGAGGCTGCAAAAAGAACAAACAAAACACAAAATACAAAAAAAAAAAAAGAAAAACTTGTAAGTTAAATCTGAAATGAAGAAAAGTTAAATCATAATAAAAATAAAGTAACTGCAGCACTAGAACAATTAAAATCTTGATGGAAAACTGGGGTTCAAATTATAGTTGTAAAACTACATAAAATCGAGTACGTTCATTCACCAAAATAACCCAAATTGAAGTATTTTGTGTCTTCAAAGAATAATACATTTATATCTTATTTATGTAAAAAAGGAAAGGTAGTCACCAGCTGCTCCTCGGACACCCCATACAGGGTTGCTATGAGTCAGAACCAACTTGATGGCATTTAACAACAACATTAAGATAACCAGAGGATTTATAACATTTTTGAACTAAAAATTACTCTTCAAACATGCATAGATCAAGTAGAGGCTCCCTTTTCACTCTAATAAACATATAGCCTATTTCTTTGCCTTCCTAATCCCTTGCATCATTGTCTTGTTCTGTGTCTGTCCTTTCGAGAACAATGTTCTTTTCTTTCCTTAGCATAACTCATGAAGAGCTTCCTGCTTCTTCCACATTACACACACATACGTATCCTGAAGAAAGTAAGTTTATTTTTATCACAATGCAGTAAAACAGTCTTCAAAATACATGAGAAGCCAACTTTGTTACTCTATAGTTATTCAAGCATTTGAAAGGGAAGGTCATTCTTTGGTATAATGTTGCACCCAATCTAGACTTATTAGCATAAAGCAAGCTCTAAGTTTAAAAACAATGAACTTTCTGGGTAAGTATGCACAAGATAAGCTTGCATAACAATGAGTTTCAATGAACACTCAGCAACCACTTAAGAGATTCTGAGCTTATTTAACAATGACATACTGAACACTTTTTCGTAACTGTAAGCTAGAGTTAAGCCTAAAGTGAAACTAGATTTGTAAAAAGTGAGTAAATATCAATTTCTAAATAAACAATTTTGAAACCCTTTGGAAGGACTCATTATCTTGAGTATCTTTTATTGGTATTCACATAAAAAAATATTATCAGTTACTATGGAAATGATTCTGATTCCTGGGTGTCAGAACAGAATAATCATGCACCATATTGTTTTCAAAGGCTGATTTTTTAGATTGCTAAGACTTTCTTCCAAGGTGCCTTTGGGTAGACTAAAACCACCAACCTTTATCTTAGCAGCTAAATGTGTTAATCATTTGCACAACTCAGAGGATGCCATTCACATAGGGGATGGTAAAAAATGTGGGAAGGATGATGGACGTCCCAATTGCACATTAAGTCATTTTTATCTGAGTTACCTGTTAAATGCAGTTCACAGAAATATTACAAAAAATAAAATTCTTACAGCATAATACTGGCATCCTGCCCGCCTTCTGAAAGCACAGGGTCCATCAGGATCATTTTCTTCTTCAGGTTCTGATACTGGGGATGGTACCTAGAAACAGGAGGCATTCCATTTAAATTATCAGAAGTCCACAGATCAATCTTTACACTTTCCTGTTTAGTTCTGCTTTGCTACAAATCAGATGGAAAAATCGAGTTAAAATGTTTGTTCTCTTAAGGCTTCTTATTCCCGTTTGTTTACTCAACAAAAAAGTATGATTACTTTGTCAGTATTTTTAGCAATAAAATCTTCATTTTATAAAGAGTATTTATATTCTAATTATTGTTGTTGTTACATGCTGTGGAATCAGTTCCGACTCATAGCGACCCTGTATAGGGTTCCCGAGGCTGTAAATCTTTATGGGAGCAGAAAGCCTCATCTTTCTCCCGCGGAACAGCTTGTAGTTTCAAACTGCTGTCTTTGAGGTTAGCTGCTCAATTAGTAACCACTACGTTGGTAGCCATACTGAATGATGCCCAATGAAGGAGGGTACATGTTTACTTACTCTTTAGCAACATGGGGATACCATTATAAGAATTAATGAAGGCTTGCCATAGGCCTACCATTAACCAAGCAGAGAAACCTTAAAGTTTTAAAATGCAATTTTCATTTAGAAATAGGGTGGATGGATATATGAATAAGCATAACAATTTAGGACAGAAATAAAGATTACTTAATACATGAGGAATATATAATCAGACTGTTGCATAAGCCCTACTATTAGATGGACTGATTATAGCAACAAGGGAAAAGCTTCTATAGGTCATGGTTTTCCAAGACATCATTCTCGCGGCTCAAGAATGTACTATAAAACATTCCAGACTCAACAGTGTTGCTAAGTGCCCTTGTGTAAGGTTCTGAGTCACAGAGACCCTCTATAGGGTTTTCAAGGAATACTGGTATGTTTGAACCATCAACCTTGTGGTTTGTAGCTCATTTTTCTAAGTAGAAAACTCCTATTAATTAGGGTACCATTACGTTCATTTCTTCAAAATGGTCCTTGATTTAGTATGTTATAACTATTCAAAGCCCTGTCAAAATCTAACTGGATGTTCTCTGATAAAAGTAATAAATGATTTTAAGTGCATTGTCAAAGTATAATTGTTACTATGCTTATGAATGTCAAAACATCATTTGAAGTTGTAAAACTAAATCAGGGAAAAAAGTAAAAACATTATGTTGTAGCATGCCAATGAGTTAATTCTGACTCATAGTAACACTGTATGGTAAGCATAGAAATGCCCCACAGGGTTTCCTGGACTGCAGTCTTTATGGCACCAGACCACTGAGTCTTTTCCTCCAAAGAGCTGCTGGTGGTGGTGACCTTTCAGTTTGTAGCTGAGATTTAACCATTGTGTCACAAGCTGCTGTTGGTTTTAAGTGTTGTCAAGTTGGTTCTGACTCAATAGTGACCCTGCATAGGGTCTCTGAGGCTGTCTGTATATCTTTGCAAGAGCAGAAATCCTCACCTTTCTCCAGCAGAGTCTCTGGCTAATGGGCTCAAACCGCCAACCTTGTGGTTCACAGCCAGTATTTATTCTACAGAGCCACCTTGCTTCCCACTAAGAATATAACCTGGCTAAACAAGATGTATTTTATGTATACTCTAGATTTTAAGTAATGACAGCAATAGAATAGTTTAGAAATAGTTCTGCTTCTAAAAAAAAAAAAAAAAAAAAAGTTTAGAAATAGTTCTGCTTCCACAAACCAACAAAAAACTTTTTTCCTTTAAAGCAAAAAGTCATAATGTTAAAACATGATAGAGCAAATGGTAGGGTTCAAAGTCTTTGTTATAGCATTCACTTTAAACTTCTTTGCAGTTCAAATTGACCTTGTGGTCAGTGCATTATCATCCAAAGTAGTGGCGGTGTGCCGTGGAGAATGGTGGTAGAAATGTGGCAAAAAAAGCAATTATGGTCAATGGCAATGTAAAATTTACAATTCCGTTTTAAATGACTTAATCTATCGATAATGTTTGTTTTAGTAATTTCAATTCTAAAAATCTATTTTAAATGCAGAGGGAAAAGATAAAGATGTTCATTTTTAGCAGAGTAAAAACCAGAAAACCATCTACATGCCCTACTATAAAATAAATTCTATCAACTAATGGAAATACCAAAAAAGTAAATATTATTTTAGTGACTATATAAATAATGTGAGAAATGTTTATCCTGTAACATTAGGGTGAACAAAGCAGGAATCCAAACTCTAAGATGTCAATTATGCTTTTAAATATAAAAGATTAGAAGAAAATATCTCTAAAATAGTTTAAAAATAAGCACCTGTGGAAATTCATCGTCATCTGAGCTGTGAAAGTCATATTGCTTAATGTCACTCTTATTGATCACAGGCAATGTCTCAGGAGTAGGCTGCTGAGATGTTATCAAAGCCTCTGCTTTAGGCTTCTTTGGGTACTTCTTCTTTTGACGAACCACATCAGAAGCCTCTTCTTTCAAAGACAAATGATGAGGGTGCTGTTTACATGACGATTTTCCCCCCAAAAAGGAAGAAATGAAAATCATTCAGAAATCATGAAAAACTACACTGCTTTTTGAAAAACAAACATTTTTAATCCAGGAGGTGATTTTATTTACTGTTTTTAATATGCAAAACAATAATATTCTGTGATCATGTTGAAAAATGTTTTACTTTTTGCAAGTTATAATGAAAAATAATTATGGAACTTAAATTTACTTTTATATTGCTATAATACTTAAAAATGAAAAATTATTGGTTTAAAACTTATTTATACACCCCAACATTTAAAAAGTATTTATAGTTAATTCTTATTTTATTTAAATCCATTGTATTAGAGATGAACAACATTTTATATTTCAAATAACTTGAACTCATTTGTTGTTGTTGTTAAGTGCCGTCGAGTTGGTTCCGACCCATAGCGACCCTGTACAGGGTTTCCGAGGGTGTAAATCCTTACGGGAGTAGAAAGCCTCATCTTTCTCCCGCGGAGCGGCTGGTAGTTTCGAACCGCTGACCTTAAGGTTCGCAGCCCCATTCGTAACCACTACATGTCTAAATAAATATTTACCATTTTCTGTGGGTGGTAATTTTTAGAGTAAAATATATTTGTAAGCTAGGAAAAACATTCCACTCTTTAGAATTACTAATTACTACCTCAACCAAGCAATTCTCAAGTGCCCTAGGGTTCTGTGGAGGGATATTCCAGAGAGGCCACTTAGCAAAGGAAAAGTGCCAAAGGGGTGGGTTTCCAGTCGTAGTCAACACCCCTAACCCCATTTAGCTGAAAGCAGCTGCTTCTATTTGTTTTAACATACTGGTCTACCTAATAAAAAGGGATCTACCACTTTAAAAGTTTGAAAAGGACTACACTCAACACAAAAGTACAAAAAATACAAAAGTATAAAAATACTTTAAGAAAGTATACATTTCCCATGTAGTCCAGGTATTAAAACTACTTTAGGGTGGTGTGCACAATGAAAAGCTATAAAATAACTATTTAGTGCGACATTGCTTCATACAATGGGTATCGATATTACATAGAAAAGTTCAACTTCTTAGAAATCTCTCATTTTAAGGTGGCAAAGTAAATATAGTTAACTATGATTCAGTTGTTGTTGTTAAGTGCTGTCGAGTTGGTTCCAACCCCTCATGACCCTGTATAGGGTTTCCAAGGAACAGCCGGTGAGCCTGAACCACTGACCTTGCAGTTCAAATGGCTTTGTAGTCTGGCGCATTAACCCACAGGGAAACACCAAGACTCCATGATTCAGTGGGGTAGCCAAATAACACTGCAACTAAGATTAGCATTTAAATAGGTTGACTGTTTATTGTTATTTAAGATCTAAATTACAGATCACCGTGATAAATAAAGGCTAACTGACAGTAATTTTTGGTTAACATGATCATATTCTATGTTATGCTATAAAATAAATTTTAAAAAACTTACAAAGTGACATCTGTGCTGATAACTTTTTTGATTATAGAGGCAGGTATGATTTAGCCATAGTGGGCTAGATGCCTGTGATTAATAAGAAAGAACTTTGGTGTTTGAAGTGACATGAATTGACAGGAGTCTTCCTGTTCCACATTTTCCCTTGACCTTTAAGAATGAATCTATGAAAAATGAGGTTCTAGTGTACATTTTTAAAAGATGAATTTTCCACAAACACACTAAGTCAATGCTTACAACTGTAATGCAATCAAAGCTCCATTATTGAGATACTTCTGTCAATACTTGTTTCTTATTTAAATCTAAGCTTGCTCATTAAATAAATAAATATATATATTAATATCTCCCAATTAAATGTTTAAGAGTTCTGGTACTATAGTGGTTATGAGTTGGGCTGCTAATCTCATGGTCAGCATTTTGAAACTACCAGCGGTTCCACGGGAGGAAGATGTGGCTTTCTGCTTCTATAAAGATTTATAGCCTCGGAAACCCTATACAGGCTGGCTATGTGTTGGAACTGACTCCATGGCACATAATCACCACCACCATTAAATGCTTTAATATAACAAGTGAGTGTGTGTAGGTATAAACCCAACCCAACCCACTAACATCAAGTAGATTCTGACTTATAACGACCCTATTTAGGGTTTCCGAGGCTGTAAATCTTTATGGGAGGAGAAAGCCTCATCTTTCTGACACGGACTGGCTGGTTGGTTTAAATTGCCAAGCTTGTGGTTTGCAGTCCATGTTTATCCCACAGCACCATGAGTGATTCTTTGCATGAGTCTATCTATCTTTCTCTCTATCAAATCTATTATCAAAACAGCTGTGTTGTTAAACATCCACGATCAGTTCTGTGAAATAGGATGTGATTTGTACATTGTGTGAAAACCACATTATACAGGCAATCATTATATTCAGAGAAAGCTCCATTTCTTTATATCTAATTTGTATATAAGTGAGAACAGTTACATATGGTGGATATTCAATGACTGTCCATCAAGTGTTTGTCTTTGTATACAATATACTTTTCCACACCTAGAAAAAAATTAGCAAAACACTTGCAGATACACTAAAACATCTTTAGTAATACAGTAAAAAGAAAAACAAAAGGTTTGGATGGGTGCTGTAAAGTAGCACTAATTTGTTATCACAAGCCACTGCATCTTGATTTTTTTTAATATAATAGGCTTTCTGGCGTTTGGGACTAAAGAAGTATATGTAGTCTGATGGTATCCCAATGGATGTTATGTGGGCCATAACTGTTATATACAAGGAGCTTCAAAAAATTAATGGAAAGAATTCATTGTTTTCCCTACACCTCACCCCCAAAATTCATGGAAATATTCCATTATCTTTTAACTCCACTTTACAATGAACTTTTTTAAAAAGCTTTTATTGTGAATTCAGTGACAGTTTACATGGGAAAACATTGGTTTTACACTCATCATTTCATTGCAATGATTACAATCCCCTCCTTGTCTTTTCATTCTATTTTTTTTTCTAAAAACATTTTCAAAAAGTATGTTAACTACATAGCGAATTCTATAAAGATAATTTATGTAGTCTAAGAGACCACAATAATCACTTAGTCTGGCTCTATATAAGCAAGGAAAAGTGGTCCAGAAGTTAAAGAACTTTCTCAAGTCACTCAGTAGCTGACAATCTTTGGTTATGGCAATGATGATGATAACAGGAACAAAGTTTAATAGTATCAATGAAGAAAGTTTTCAATTCAGATTTTGATGTCTGCCACTATAATGCAGGTTTTACGAATGGCATAATGAATAAAACTTTAATTATCCTAATATCTAGTGAGCACATGTTGTTGTCAAGTGCCATCGAGTGGGTTACGACTCATAGCTACACTCTATAGGGTTTTTGAGGAGCAGGTGATGAGTTTGAATGGTCAGTCTTGAAGTTCAAATCAATCTTGCAGTTGAGTACTACAGCACCACACTAGGACTCCAAATAGGAGAACGGAAATATATGAACTTTGGGATTAAATCTGGATTCAAACCTTGACTCAGCCTCTTAATTAGCTCTAATATTAGAAGTAACACGCAGGTAAAGGACTATTATGAGTACAAAATAGGTCAATAAATAAATAAAAACTCCTAGGAAAGTGCTTGACAAATAGTAAGAACTAAATTCATGTTAACTACTTTCTTACTTAACCGAACTACATGAAGATAACTGCAGGAATCAATAATTAATCAATATTATCATACATGTTTCTCCTCAGACGATATTTACCTTAGTTTTACATTCTTGAACTTTGTGATGATTTCCATTATGAAGAGTTGCTGGAGTGGCATATAACTCTTTCTCAGATCTATTGATTTTCACTTCGTTAAGGATCTCACCACCATAGTCTCCCAAATGGTATCTTGAAAAGGTAAGAATACAGTGCAGTTTACAAATCAAGAATAAAAACCAGCAATGCCTCAATAACTGAAACACATATAGACCCCACAATTAATAAGATCACTCTAAAGAGAGAACCTTTATAGAAATAATGCTTATTTAATAATGTAGTATGATGATAATAATTATTCTTGGGGACACACTCCCAAAACAGCTGAAACCAAAGTTTCAACTATCTAGTCAGAAAATAAAATCAACTAAACGTTAATACAGAGTTAGACAAAATGATATTTAAATTCTTTTCAAAGTAAAAGTACGATCCTGCACAAAAAAGGTGTATTCTAAACTACAAAATAAAAACAAAAATTTGCAGTAAAAGCAGAAAACAATCTGATATAAAAGTTAACTATAAATAATCTTCACAAACATCTAATCATACAGTTTAGTAGAAAAAAACAATTATATGGTTACATTTTTGCCCACCATTTGTTTACAGTAAGCTTTCATTACCTTTTTTCCACAACTTCTAAGGTTAAGTGCAATAATTCCCGTTTTGTTTTCTCTCTTCTCTTAATCATTTCCAAAATTGTTATAGCTCTACTAAATTCTCGTCTCAATTTCAACATCTTTTCATAAGAAGCTTCATCATTCTTACGATTCTATTAAAAATAAATCACAAATTAACCCAAAAATCCATTTCACCTTCATTAAATAAAACTTGATCATATTCAAGTTCATCCTATATATGTAAAAAAAATTAAGAAATCACCTAAAAAGCAATTATATGTCTCTTTAACGCTGAAAATATAACAAGGAGTTTTTTTCCCAATTAAGTATTATTTAAAAAAAAAAAAAAAAAGTCACCTGTTACAAAAGATGTAACAGCATAGAAGAGCTAACTTTAATGTCTGTGTAAGAAAATGAAACGGTCCACCTGAAATTAAAATATCATGTAGCAGAAAACATAGCCCATTCATAATGAAGTAAGGTATTTCTCCAATGACAAGAGAGAAACAGTTCTGTCAAGACCAAGGTACCTAAAAATAGCCCTTATTCTATTCGCCCATCATCCATCTCTATAATTGGAGGCTTTATGTTTTAATATATTAAAATGAAAATAGTCAAAAGACAAGAGAGACTCCACTTCAGGTGTATAACTGAAAGTAGACGTCAGGAATCAAAAAAATAAATGGGAGAATTAGGATTCAATATAGTGATTTCCCATTTCACAGTAGAAAAGAGATTGAATGAAAATTCTGAATTTCAGAACATAGTTAGGAAAGTCTTTCTTTCAAGCATAGGAAGTTACTTGACTAATATATAAAGAGGAAGTCTTATTTAATAACCAAAATGGGTTAGGTGGAATTGCACTTGTACATAAAACAAGTTAAAATATTTTGTTCAATTAAAAATATAAAGTACTTATACTTCATATTAAGCAATGAAGTTTTAAAATATACCACTATTTACCCTCAATTTACGTAATACAGAAAGAACTACAACTGTTCATCCTCGGATTATTAAGAATCTGAACCTAAAGAATCTGAAGCCAGATGTTTCATACTGTAGGATTACAAAAGAGAAAATAAAAACAGGAAAAGATTCAAAAATTTACTTTGTTTTAAATATTATTGGGGGTGGGGAGGAGAGAACAGATTTCTAAATTATAAAACAAAAACACTAACATCACCAACAGCAAATATTAAATGCCCACTTTGGACATGGTAATTGCACATGACCCCTGGCCCCCTCACTCTCAATAAAAATGCTATCAGGACTGACTGTGAGGGTTGGAAATGTAAAGGTAGATGCTTTATAGCAAGGAGGGGAGTGATTAACTTTTCAGTCTAGGAGCGGAGGTCCCTAGGACCATCAAGGGAGAAGAGCAGAGAGCGGGACCCTACCCA